CAGCATTATTTTACTGTTGAGTCGATCATACTCTTGCACACTATTGCTATTGTTCTTTGTTTAATAAGTTATTTATTTAATTTAAATATGCGTGCATATAAAGAAAGAATCAAGAGGACACTGTTTCATTTATGAGTACAAAAAACATAAACTCAATCAATATGCCACCTATGAACTTCTTATATTGCCATAATTAGTCATATTAATATTGAAAAATATACAGTTAATTGAAAGAAATCGATAGTTATAAAAGAGTCATCGGACGTCCCCGACCTATAATAACAATGAGTCGAGCCACATAACACCTAAATATCTGAAAAACAAAGGAAAAGAAATCGATAAAATAGCAGAAATAAAGGAATAAATAAAAAAAAGAAAATAAATAAAAAGAAAACAACTAACAGTTTTTCTGTAACAGTAAAGATCTTGAGCTATACCCAAGGGAACTTTCAAGCTGAACTCGTGGCATGATCCCGCTGTCACTCCGTGATCGCTGTGGACTCGTGTCGTCACATCAATTTCTGAAAATTGTTTTCAGGACTCCCGTCGCAATAATCGTGAGTCGTGCCGCGAAATAGCTCTTCTGCTCGAGAATCGCTATAAGAATAGCAATTGAGCTAGGATCATGGAGTGATTCTAAGAGGTCGCCTAGGATTCGGGTAATAGTAAAACATGGAGACAGCCACAGACACTTACAGACACCCATAGACAGCACACAGATATCCACAGATAGCCACTGACAGCTGCACAGACAGCTCAGAGACACCCAGGTCAAACAATCCTATCAGGTTCCTACAAGATCCTACTAATAATAGGATTTCATAGAATTCCTATTGTAGGATCCTATAAAAACAGCAGGAATTGCATAGAATTCTTGATATAGGAAGGTAGGAAAAATCCTATAGGATTCCTATAAGTAGGAATCTTATGCATTTCTTACAAAATCCTACGGTAAGATTTTGTAGGAGTCCTATTTTTTCATTCTGTATATATTTTCTTTTTCTATACGAGAACACAATAACCGACGTGTTTTGCAGTAACGATAATATAAATACAACTCTATTGTAGAAAATGAAAAATTCTTTTATATTAGGCTTAAATTTTAGAAATTCTGTGAGCCATCGAAACTCACTATACTTTTCGACGACGTGTGAGCAAGTACTCACAAGTCTTGGTCTTATCCCAGCTTAGAAGCACTTGATTCTGGCTATCTGGGATCAGCGAATAATTAAACAAATAAAAATAATAAACTTAGTAGTATAAACCATATCATATCCCAGCTGATCATATAAAATTCTAGCAAATCCTATAATAAGATTATATAGGATCTTATATGATCTTATAAGTTCCTACTGTAGAATCTCATATAATAGGAATTCTACGTCATTTCTTGCTTTAAGAGGCAGATGTGTTTCCTATAAGATCCTATATGATTTCATAGGATCATATAAGATCAGACAAGAGTTTATTTTAGGGCCCGATAGGATCTTACAAGATCCCATATGATCCTATTATAGGATTCTTTGATCTGGGCACCCACAGACAACCCAAAATAACTACACAGACATCAACTTCTGTGTCGCTCCAATGTCTGTAAAAGTGGATGTCTGTGGATGTCTCTGTGCTGTCTGTGTAGTTGTCAGTGGTTATCTGTGATGTCTGTGTGCTGTCGGCAGGTGTCTGTAAGTGTTTGTGGGTGTCTCCCAGATCGACGAAAACTGGCATTTAATTGCCCATTAACAGCCTGTTAACTGTATGCCAAAAACTGGCCTGCTAATTGTGTACAAATCGAATGAAAATTAGCATTTAACAGCCATTATAATAACAATTTTTTGACTTTGAATTAACGGTGAAAATAATGCCAGATTATAGGCAATGTCTGAAAAATTGTCATTTTACGGATACCATTAAATGGTATTCTCGTCCATTTATTAGACCATGTTAACTAATGCCAAATAAATGTGGTCGTTAAATGTCCGTTTTTTCTCCATTTCAAAATGGCAAAAAACTGGTCATAAAATGGCATTTAACAGGCAGTTTATGGTCACCAAGTCATTCATCGTTTTATTCTGCCGTCATGAATAGTATAACTGACTCTGATTTTCCTAAAATAATTTAAAGTGTTTCTCTTCTTCAATTATACGAATCATAGAAACTTGCTTCGAAGAAGTGGTCTGTGGTTCTTGACTCGATGCAGGTGATAGTACCTCAGGTTCAGAAGATATATTTTTGACATTTTCTAACGGTCTAACAATTGATATTTAAATGGCAAAAAAAATGTGACCAGTAGGGTTACTGGCAGCAGTTAAATGCCTGTTATTTGACCGTTTTTTGACATTTAAAAAAATGCGAAATAAATGCACTTAAACGTTCGCAGTTATAATGGCAAAAAACGGCCTAAAAGCGGGGTCAAATGTCATAAAAATGCCATTTAAATGCTTATTACCAGCATATTAAATGGCATTTAATTGACAATTAATTACACCGTTTTCGACGTCCTGGGCTGTGAGTATCTTCATGTTGTTTTTTTTAAACGTATTCTTGTTTATTAAAAAATAGTTGTGTTTAACTTCAACAAACAAACGCAGCTATGCTTGCAGACAAGTCTGTGTTGCATAGTGCATAAAACGCTCAATCATGTTTCATTACTTCATGCTTCATGTTTTACTATTATCCCTAGAGTTCTATAGAAATCGCGCCATCATACCACTATAAAGAAAAAAATAAAGTTCATTTAGAGTTTTGGAAAAGTGCTTTTTTGTATTCAGTATACTCGATAACCCAATAGATTTTCTATTTTTGGCGACGGATACTGTGATAAGTTTAGAAAAATTTTTCAAACACGCAAAACAATTTCCATGGGAAACTAATATTCGTTTCAAAATTTTTTTTAAACTTTTGATGGTACCCTTCGTCAAAAATAGAAAATCTACTGGATTATCGAATGTGCTGAATACGAAAAAGCACTTTTCCACGACTCTAAATGAACTTTATTTTTCTGTCAGTGATATGGATGTCAAGAGTTCTTACAAGACCCACCGCGGCATGGGCATAAAAGCACGATCGCGAAAATCAAGTCTGATCTTGCGACTCTTATCGCGGGACGCAATCTTGGCGTGTCGAATAAAAAGTGTGAGACACTTGTTTCCTTACAATGTAGTAGTTGGGATGCCAACATACAGATTCAGAGTGATAACAGCGTCAAGAAGAGTAATCAACAGCATAGCAAATTGAAAGAGGGCCAGACGATTGAAGAATTATACAAGTATTGTACAAAGTTTACTATTCTGCCATCTACCAAAATTATGAATACCCATTTATAATTGTATTGGTTGATAGAGTTGGCGTATGACGGATGTTTTTATTCTTTGATTAATATTTTGCTCAAAAAATCACATTACATTATCATGGAGTAAAAATGCTTTTTTTCTGTCACGTTTCTGCTTTTGAATCCAGTTTCTTTATCCTGATATTAGGAGAAAACAGTACTTCAAACATTTGTACTGTTAACTTTTTCTGTGGTATCATGATGTTTTACTTTTCCTGTTGACTGCATCGTTTTTAACTTGACATCACAGCTGAATTTTTTCCTTCATGCTGGAGTCACGTTCGTTCGGTTAAATGACTACAACCGTCTTGTATTTTTTTGCAGTACAGTCGATGTGCGCAGTAGAAAACATTTTAATCGGCAATTCTCATTCTGTTAAAGTTCAGTCACTATTTTATAAAAAAAACATTTTCAAAATAAATTCTATACTAGTTTTATCACTTTTCTTATTATAAAATTTTCATTGTTAAAAAACAGAAAATTGCTCCGTTAGTATTTACAATATGGGTTAATTTTTAACAATAAACTACTGGCTGAACGTTGTATTGCTTGCATTATATCTCAACATCAGGAAATCTCCTTGATTTTCTGACGATGGTAATTAATTCTGTAGTTCTACTTCGAGTTTCAAATCATCCCGCTCGGTTTGTTCTGTCTGATGTAGGTTTTTTTCTTTTTGATCTTTTTTCTTCTCTGTTATATTATATAATCAACAAAAAATAAAGAAGCGCTTCAAAATGTATGCCGATCTGCCGGTTGTTACGCATCTATTCGGTTCATTAGAGCGGTATAAGTATAATTTAGTATAATTTAGAACTGTTTGTTTGATGAGTATGTTTTTGTGCATAAACATATAACGTGTAAAATCAGTTTTTCTTTATAACTGATGAAATGATAAAAAGAAAAGCAGTGTTTCTATAGTTCAGAATTTACAGCATTTATGACTAATTTTTTTCTTTTTTCTTAGAAACTCTTACTGCAAGGTTCGGCTCTCATACATCGTTATCTTCACACGCTCTGCGTATACGTATGCGTAAAAAAAAAAAGAAAAAGAAATACAACTGTACTACTCTGGTAAAATTCTTTTCTTTTTCGTGGCTGGGCAGGCATGTAGTCAGATCTGTCACCAAGATTAGAGGAGTGTATGTTGAAACTCCCTAAATACTCTGTAGCAAAAAAACATTTGAGAAGAGTTTTCATCGTTAGTGTAGTCTCCGCGTGTGATACAGCCTATAAGTAGTGTAAAAATCGTACGCTCATTTTATGTTCATATCGAGCTGCTGATTGTTTCAAAAGTGACTTATCACAAGAACAGTTGTGTTATAGGAAACAGTTATAAAAATCATGTAGATTATTATTCAATTAGTCACTGCTGTAAAAAAACCGAGTTATCATATGAATTTTTTTGTCGCAGCTATTAACGATTGTTTAGAAGAACCTGGAAGCGATATTAACGATCTTCTATTGGACCAATTATCACTTTTGCTTGATATTCGAATTTTCTTCTTGTCCCTATCTTCGAGTTTCATCATTAAATTTGTGATGTGTTTAGAGTTCTTGAAGTCAATAGTATTTATCGCCCAGAAATAAGCAGACGTTAGACAGAAATGAAACTGTTCTTTTCTTGTTGATACGATTAATTTTTTGTTTAGATTTATTGAGCAACACGAAAATGTCTTCAACTGACGATGTGCATCCATTACATCGTTCTGCTGAAATTGAAGATTTAAGTCATATAACAAAAGTAGATGAAATTAACATTAAATATGAATCATTGAAAACTGAACCAGATAATTTAAAAACAACGACAAATTTACATCGCAGCGAAGAAATGGAAGATTTGTCTCATTTATCATCGAAAGATATGAATAAACCGTTAAATACCGATGATCCATTACGTACTAAGGCAACATCTACTGCGGAATCTACTCACAGTGATCTACATCATCAACCGTTAGCGTCAACATTTGGTTCAACATCAAAAATTTCTCAAGAACAGCAGCAGCAATTTCCGCTTAATCGCTCCTCGGAAATGGAAGATATTCAAACTAAAATTCCCGAAGAAAGTGATCAGTTAAATTTATCACCATCGAAAAATGAACAACGCAAATTAACCAAATGCAACACTGTTATTGGTGATAGTTCAAAATATAATTAGAACTATTTGATGTAGATATTTAATCGAAGCAAGTTCTCTCGAACATTTCATAAATGTTTTTGTCTCCAATTGGTTTTTTAGTTGAATAGAAATTTTATTTGTAACTTGACTCTAAAATTTTTCAATACTTTTTTTATCATTAGTTAGTTAGATCGAGTGAAAAATCATTAACTAACTACTATTTTGATGATATTCGTACTTCCATCTTTGCTCTGTAACTCTTTTAGAGAAGTGTTCGAGCACTACAATTTTCGGAAACCTTTTTACCTTTTTATTCTATGTAAGCTAAATACGAAGAATGTCTTGATTTATTATACAATGATAACTGTGTGTGAAAAATCGCTTGACCTGGAAGAAGAAGAAGAGAAGTATAGAAGAATTTGGATAGTAAGTAGTAAACAAATCGAACCGTTCAAGCTATCGAAGTAGGAAGCGCCACCTTTTACTCACATATATGATTAATTCGTAGAAAAATAATAAATGTCAAATATTTGTCATGTAAGACATATCCAGCTTATTTGAAAACATTTTTTTTATAATTTAGTTAAAAAGAGTAGTTCATTAATGGCCTATTTTTATGATATGATTGGCAAACTTTTTAACAAATCATTGTAGCGTATGATTCATTGACATTGAGTTGCGTGTTTCCTGTTCTTTTTTTTCTGATGTCGTTCGTTCTATCTAAAGTTTGTTTACTTATTTTTTTCTGTGAACACGGATAGATAAAAGAGATTATAGTAAAGGTATATATTTCTTCAGATTAAGAGTGAGTTATGAAAAAAAGAAAAGATGTCAATACAATTTTATAATAATTCTTCTGATATTACGGTTCAGTTTCAGAATAACAACACTACAATGGCAAAACAAAGTCAAAACGAAATTGATACCATGATAACAAAAGTTAAGGTAAGAAGAAATATCTCTATTTAATAATATGATTTACCATATTTTCTCTATTTTAATTAAGCCTAAAAATCGGTATTTAACGGTTTATTCATATCTTTCGATGATAAATGAGACAAATCTTCCATTTCTTCGCTGCGATGTAAATTTGTCGTTGTTTTTAAATTATCTGGTTCAGTTTTCAATGATTC